CGTGAGTACAGTAATAGCACAAAGAGTGACTCCTGATATGAATAATGTGTCAGCAACACAAAGTATGTAACAAAACGTGATTTCCAGCTTTAATATGTGCTGTGTGCGTGGAAATGAACGTACGGCAGGTAAATTATGGAAAGATTTGAAATGTTGAAAATGACCCGAAACGTTCTTTAAACTATCTGAATAGTAATATGGAGAATTTTCAAATTTTAACAGACACGCACGTCACCATGTGTGCGTGTACAGTAATAGCACACGAAATTAAACAGTGTCAAGTGTATTTAAAACAGCCTGTTAGTTGGTAATGCCACACGAACTTTCCCTTCACATAACCTATATATATTAGTCTGATAGCGTCGAAATACAGTCTGCCGCCCTCACTCTGTTCTATTCTTTTACATCTTTTAAAAATGAGAGATAAAAGGGCTCCAGAAATTCATTCTTTTTGACCATGTTGACGTAATCAAAATGAAAAATAAAGGGACATGTCTTCAAGAGAATTGATTTAGCTATAACATACTCACAGGTGGGACACAATCAATCAAGAATAAGCGAGATACGTTCAAACGAGTATAAACTCGTTTGATAAAAATTCATCATAAATAAAAATTCAGTTTTTTAATGCAAATGCCAATATGATGACGTAACAATGTCCGATCAGCCATTATGAAGTAAAAAATGGTATCTACAACTCATGTGCTTTCAGATTATGTAATAAAAATTGGGGGTCACCTTTCATCCTAAGGAGCTATAACTGATTAAAAATATTCATGGTTTTATGCATATATAAATGTTGACGCACGCGTATGTGTACGCTAAAAGGCGCGAACAGAAAATTAAGGTATATAACATTCAACCTTGACCTGAAGCTTATGCTCACCTAATATGATTTAGAAATGACGAATGGTTAAGATTATATGGGGTCATATAACGTTTTGAAGAAAGAGAAATGAGGGGGTCAGAAAAAACATTTTTTTTGACCATGATGACGTCATCAAAATGTCAAAAGGAGTCAAATATATTAAAGAGAATTGTCTCAGCTATAACATACTCAAATTTGGAAGACGATCGACCAAGAATAAGCGAGATACGCTCAAATGCGTATTTTCAAAAATGACGTCATTGCTATAATTCACTTCCTTGAATTCAGATGCCAATATGATGACGTCACAATGTCCGATCAGCAAATATGATCTATAAAATCGTATCTACAACTCATGTGCTTTCAGAATATGTAATAAAAATTGGGGGTCACCTTTCAACCTAAAGAGC